CCCCAAAACCCCAAAACCCCAAAACCCCAAAACCCCGAAAAATTAGATATTTATTGAAAATGAAATCAAGCAAGAGAAAGAGCAGGTTTACAAACGCTCCTGTGGAACAGCCTTCCGTGGAGTATAATCCTAATTTAAGACCTATTGAGCACAAGAGAGATGAAATTCTGTACTCAGTTGATAAGAAGTAAGCAGATTTAGTCTGAGTATAGTCCTTGCACGATTGTTTGTGGAGACCCCAGTGTTGGGAAATCAATCCAGATTCCAAAATTCCTTCATGATGCAGGATTTGGTAGGGATAGAAACCGGTACATTCTGGTGTCAATTATCAAGTAAGCCCCTGTATCATCCCTTTAGCGATGTGTCCTGTATTTCTCTTGCAAAGTCCATTGCAAGCAACTTACATACATACTTAGGAGAGCAGGTTGGATATAGCACTAAATTTGAATCTGATTTTAATGAAGACAAAATGTGAATCAAAGTAGTCACTGATGAAGTGCTTTTCAAAGAAATTCTAATAGATCCTCTCCTCATCAAATATGAAGCAGTTATCCTAACCAAGAGAGAGCTTTGAGGTATTTTTATGATATATTCTTTAGACCACCTTACAGTTGATTGACCTTACAATGATATACTTCCTGGGGTTTTAGATAAAATTCAGAAGGGAAGAAAGGATCTAAAATTGCTAATTTCGACCAACCGTGCTCTAGATGTTCAAAAGTACTCAGATATCTTCACAGATCCTCCCCCTGTTATTAAAGTTCTTCATTGAAAGATCCCACTAAGCTTGAGATCGATGCTTCCTCCTGTTTGTGTGAGATACCTTTCGAAGATATCTCTGTTCAGGTTTTGACCAAGGATATTTTATTTGGAAAAGCCTACCTATGATTACATCGAGAAAGCAGTAGAGACCGTATATTCGATCCACCAGATGTCCAAGAGCGATGGTGATATCCAAGTATTCTTCACTGGAACCCAAGAAGTTGCTGACTTTATCCAGAAATTCGAGGTAGAGTTTAAGTCTTTAAGATATAGAACTACAAAGCTACAAACAGGCTTGGAGATGACTTATTTTGCGTTGCTCTGAATAATAACCTAGGTACTGAAGATCTGGAGGAGGTTATGAAACCTACACCTGCTTATAAGCGGAAAGTAAGACTTCAGGCCAAAAAGATTATAGGTTATTTGTTCCTCTCTGGTGGCTGAAACCTCTATATTAGTCCCAGATGTCACATATACAGTTGATTGATGATTTGAGAAGTATGATAACATGATTATCCCAGCTAGTAAGGAGGTCTGCGAAGCAAGAGCAAAGCTTTCTTCTAGGTACATCTATCTTTTGAAAAACTTTACTCATTTTCCTCTTGCTTAACAATAATTTAGGATAAAGCATGGCAAAGTATTTAGACTTTGAGAAGCAAGCTACTATGACAGAATTCTCCCTGATTACTCCAAACCAGCAATTTATAGATGCGATCTCAGTCTTTTGATCTTAAGACTAAAGGCCCTGGGAGTTAAAAACATTTGGGACTTCAAGTACCTCAACCAGCCAGATGAGGAAGACCTTGTCAAAGCTCTAGAAGTTCTGTATTCTCTAGGAGCCCTAACCGACGAAGCAGGTCTTACTGAAGGTAAATTTTAGCTAATTTTATGTAGATATTGGGCTAAAGCTCGCAGAACTTCCTGTGGATCCAAAGCTAGGAGCTGCCATACTGAATTCTAATCGCGAGGAATGGAGGTGTACTGATGAAATCTTATCAATTTCAGCATTAATGGCAGTCGGAAATATCTTCCAAACCACAATTGATCCAATGAGGATAGCTAAAACAAAGAAGAAATGTGGTGCATTGGAAGGAGATCATATTACTTTGATAAATATCTTTAATCTCTATACCAAGAAAAACAAAAGTTCTAGGAAGGCTTTTTGTGGTGAAATGTACCTAAACGAAAGAAATTTGATTAAAGCAGTCAAGATCAAGCTTCAGTTGAAAGAATACTTACACATCATGGGCGTTAAGATTGCAAAAAGTGATGACTACGATGACCCTCCTGCAATTTTAAAGTCTCTGATCACTGGATTCTTCACTAACATAGCCCAAGTTCAGCTAGATGGGTCCTACAAGAACATTAGATCTGGTGAATCAATGAAGATTCATCCTTCAAGCGTGCTAGCAAATATCAAACCTAAATGGGTGCTCTACAATGACATCTTTGTTGGCACAAAGAAGTATATGAGAGAAGTGTCTGAGGTTGACATTGACTGGGTGCTTGAACTCTGCCCTCACTTTTATAAAGACACTAGGAAGGAAGTCCAGCAAGAGAAATACAAGAATGAGTCCAAGCTTAATTCCAAAAGAGCCAAAGATCTTGTCAAGCAAGACCAGCGATTGAAGGAAAGCCAAGGAATGATGAAAGCTAGATCAAATATGATGAAAAAGCCCAAGGGAAAGTAAGCACTTAAAGATCATTTTTAGGTTCTTTAGCAGCAAGCCAAAGACAAATGCTGTGTCTGGTCTTCTCAGCAAGAGAGTTAGGAGAAATGATCTTGCACCAGCACCAAAAGACGTCAAGGTTGACCCAACCAAGTTGGACAGGATGTTCCCTAACAAAAAGGCCAAGAGGGAGAGCTCAAAGCTATCTTTTGCTGATGATGAAGATTATTAATATTGAGAGAGGCTCTATAGTTTCAGTATATTTCAACCATCTTCTTAGGATGAGGGGTTTTGGGGTTTTGGGGTTTTGGGGTTTTGGGG